CTGTATTTGAGCTGCAGGCATTAGGCTTGACATACCTGCACTCTATGGTCAGATTAGTGACTGTTAGTAAATAAATGCTTAGGAAAATTACTCAAACTGTCCCTTCACAGGTCAGGATGGAGAGATAAAGTGCATTGAGGAATATCAAAATGAATTATGAAACTTGTATTTGTAACCTGAATGGACATTTGTGCATTTTGTAGCTTGAGACTTCATATTTACTGTAATTCTCATCTCACACAAAGACATCCTACACTATATTCTACTTCATTCATGGTTCATGTTGCTCCATTCTTTATTCCTTCTCTTTGACAATATCTTCCTTGCATGATGTTTACAGCTGCTTTCCCCCCAAATTAAAAAGTGGCATTTCTTTCTTTGTAATTAGCAATATTTGGTCTCAGGAAACCTCCCTGGGTTGCAACAGTACAATTCCTACTGTGACAGGGAGAGGAAGAAGTGCATTTTAATTGCAAGAGCAGTCGTGTTCCAAATGCAGCAGGCTCAGGGCTATGACACACGACGCTCCACTCTGAATTCTCAGCTCCATGTTTCTCACCCAAAGGAGACAGGCTGAGCATCCTTGGGTGCAATCACACCTCAGCCCCGGCGATGACTTCCTCACGTATTAGAACGCAGCCCCCTACGCGGCTGCAGCTGAGAGGCGGGGAGTTATTGGAACATGGCAGGAGAAGTGTGCACTGCAAAGCAAATATGTTGCTTATTAATAGGCTGGTTTGGTGAGTAGTACCTGGAGCAGTGCCGGGAGGGACCGTGGGTGAATGCCAGAAGTACAGTGTGTGTGTGTGTGTGTGTGTGTGTGTGTGAAAGGGAGAGAGGGAAGAGAAATTTTGCTGAGAGAGCACATTCGTGCCATTCTGGCAAACCACGCTCTCTCTCTCTCTCTCTCTCTCTCTCTCTCTCTCCCCACACACACACACACACACACACACATATATATATATATATATATATATATATATATATATATATATATATATATATATATATATGCCCACAGTATGTGTTCAAATAGATAAAAGTACTCCCATATTCCATGGATATACCTTTGCTCACAAAAAACACACACCTATGCGTGCACACAAAGCAACCCAATGTGAATTTACAAATAAAAAGAAAGAATTTTGACACAGTGACAAAAACATGCTTAATGAGGACATTTTCCTTTGGTATGGATGTGAGTGGTCGGTTCAAACCTGAACTCTATGCTGAATAATTAATACCGAATGTTATTGAAACATTCAATCAAAACATTTGTTAAATGTTTCATGTTTATGTGGTCACAGTATGACAACAACAAAATGCTGGCCAGTTCTGTGTAGCACTCGTCCATATGGCTGACTGCCACTTGGAGCTCTCTCTCTCTCTCTCTCTCTCTCTCTCTCTCTTCTCTCTTACTCACCTCATCTCTCTCTCCACGTTCTCTCTACACATGCTTATTCCTCACAATCTCTGTGTGAGGCTTCAAACTCTGTGTGTGTGTGGGCGCTTGTATTCAATTTGCTATTTTTTTCCCTTTCACTCTTTAGTTGCTCACTTCTGTTCAATATTTTTTGTCTTATTGTTATTTTATTTGCGCTCCACAGATACATAGTGATCCTGGATTCAGTAACGGTGTAGTAACGATAGTAGATGATTAAGGGATTTTTTCCCCCCCGAACATCATTAGCTGCAGCTACTTGGCATTTTCATGTGTGAAATTTCCATAGATACAAGCCCTTGTGTGTGTTTAAATAGCTGTTCTGTAAATGATTACGGAATATTTTGGATCCCAGAGTGACAGAGAAGCACTGTGCGACAGAGCCGTGCTCCTGATTCCATACAGATAGCAGAAGCTAATTATGATCTAATAACTGGCAGACTGTCCAGCATTATTACAGGAAGGCAAGGTTAAATTAATAGCTCATCATCTGCCCTCAGAATCAGTCATTTTGTTATAATGCTCATAATTTCGACGTTAAATCTTCATTACCTGCCAAGATCTTAAAGGAGGGCTGTCAATTTGTGGCCTCGATGAGAACGAAGGCCGGCATTGTTCAAGTCAGGGTCTGTTTTTCAAAAGGGGGAAAAAAATAATAATCGAGTTAACAAGGTACACAACACGACAGCAGAGCCTCGCTCAAGAACATTTTTCAGCTTCTGTGGCGTCAAACGTTCTCCTAATAAAACCAGATGTTTACCAAGTAATAACTGCTTTGTACCGTTTGATGTGTTCTTTGCTAATTTACCCATACTGGCAATAAAAGCAGGGCAATTAACTTGTGATTTTGGATTTTTCTTCCTGCTAAACATCATCAGATGTTTTACATATTGAGATTGAATTTTTCAAGAAGTATCCAGTGGGCAGAAACTATCAATTACTTGAAGTGTAAACATAAAAAAATAATACTAATTTGTTCTTAAGGAGTGCGGCGTTGCATAAATTCTATCACAGGCGGCCTGTCCTGGTGGAATAGCTATCAAAAACAAACACATTTTCTGTGCTGTAAATAACAAAAAAAACACACCACAACAACAAAAAAACAACACAGACCAAACTGTAGCTTCACACGGCTGAACGCTGAAACACAGAACTGTTAATTGGAAAAGCGTGAGAGAAATGTTAAAGCTTAAAGGAAAGAAACGAGCATAAATCCACATCTCTCTCCCGTCTCTCTCATTCTCTCACTCGTTCTCTCTTGGTGCCTTTCCGCTTTTCTGTTTGTGGTGTCATGGTGTGTTGATTCACAGCAAACAGCTCCAGGCTTCAGGACAAGAAACAGACACCAGACAGAGACATGGTGAGAGATTCACTGATGAATTAGAGTGAGGTCCAGGAGATTCACACCCGCAAGTTAAAAGCAATTCGGACAATTCAAATCACATAAAAAGATATAATGTTTGAGGTTAGTGTTGGAGGAGGGATTAACGCGCAAAGATTTGCTTACAGCTTCCATCTTGTGGAAGTGATTGAAATCCAATTTGTATGGATTTTTCATGCGATTGAACCCCACTTTCCTGAAAGCATTGTAAAATATAAGATCATATTAGCTGGAAAGGGAGAAAGTGTTCAGTGTGACGCTTGCTTCACCATTTAACCACAGTGATCATCATGTTTGATGATTAGTGCATAATAATATATAATACAATATAATATATGAGTGAAAGAAATGCACTTATTAGCTGTTTGAGAAATTATTTTTATCTTATCTATCTGATAATTATCTGAAGTGAAATATCTGATTGCAAATGTGCACGAATATTATATATTTTTCCTCTTATTGATTGATTGATTGACTGATTTAAAAACTAATACTGAGTCCCAATTTGCCTACTTATATTATGCACTAAAAGTATGTACTATTTTTGTGAAGAAAAAGTACATACTTTTGAGTGTATGCACATACTGGGAGTAGTACTAGGACATATTAACAAGTCATGTAACGAAACAGAACGTTATCTCCTAGTTACACACACTGTCACTGTAAACAAACAGTGTTTGTTGCATTTCAGCTTTTCTTCACTCATTATTTCTTATATAATTTACACTATATAATGTAATTTCCCTTGATTTATTTTTCCACATTTCATTTACACCTCTCTAAATGCATTGCACTTTTCCGCCATGTTTGCAGGTTGAATTTGGCAAAACAAACCATCACAAAACTCAAGTGCAAGGAGTTGTGGGCAATATTAGTTGAAAAAGTGTCCACGGATCCCCATTTTAAAAATCTTCTGGAAATAGTAGACCGTCCAGGTACCTTTGGGATATTCGTTTCAAAGTACTTCAATTTTTGACACACTAATTCTAATCTAGGATACTATTTTTTTTTTTTTTTTTTTTAGAAGAAGCAGCCTTTATTTGTCACATATTCTTTACAACACAGTGAAATTCTTTGCATAACCCAGCATGTTAGGAAGCAGCTTTCTGATCAATAACCCGCGACAGCAAAGGCCACAGAAATAAGTTGAAGTCATCAATGTTCTTCTCCACAGATATCTTAAGTAAAAGGTGAAAGATTTCTGCGTGAATGTAGGTGAATTGGGATGCAGCATAACTTATTTTCTTCAGAATATAAATTTTACATACAATGAAGATATATTTAATTTAATTATTTTTGAAGTATGTGATTGTGCCCTGCAATGGACTGGCACCCTGGGTGTACCCCGCCTTGTGCCCGATGCTTCCTGGGATAGGCTCCAGGTTCCCTGCAACCCTGAAGCAGGAAAAAGCGGTTGAAGATGGATGGATGGATGGATGGATGGATGGATGGATATTTTTGAAGGCATCTTTGCCCTACAGCATTTCTTTGCATGTGCCTAAAACTTTTGCACAGTACTGTAGAGCAAAGATGCCTTCAAAAATAATTAAATTAAATATATCTACATTAAAACATAATAAAAATAAAGATAGTGGTCTCTACAATTAGTGCAGTTTTATAAGGAAATGAGCTGTAAGTTTTATTGAGCATCTTGAAGAACCAGCCACAGAGTGTCTGGAGAATTTGACTGTCACACTCGCTTCTTATATTTGCAGCAAAATCCAGCTAGCTTCATTATGTTTTTTTTTTTTTGAAAAGTGGTCTCATGTAGTATACTGCTTTCTTTACTGACATACAAACATTTTTCTGTAACATTTAATTTTGTCAATACAATACTGTATATCATATTAAACTGATTGCAAACCATTTGCTTCATCCATCCATCCATCCATCCATTTTCTGTACCACTTATCCTACCCAGGGTCAGGAAGAGCCTGGAGCCAATCCCATATAGATATATCCACAAGGACTTCACGAGTGGGACTCGGGACACGAGGCGGGGGACACCATGTAAAGGGTGCTAACCCATCACAAGGCACAATAGCACACGCACCTACACACTATGGACAGTTTGGAAATACAAATCATGTCTTTGAACTGGGGGAGGAAACTAGAGTACCCAGAGGAAACCCCTGAAGCATGGGAAGAACATGCAAACTCCACACACACACACACACAGGGTGGAGGAAGGAATTGAACCGCCAAGCCTGGAGGTGCGAGGCAATCGTGCTAACCACTAAGCCACCCCACCCCCTCTTTTCATTTTTTTTCTTTAATTGTACTGCCATATATTTCTTTCAGGTGGGAAAACTTCAACTTCCACCACACACTGTTAACTGTTGCAATCTCTCAATCTCTCACATCTCTCTAACACCTTGTACAGTACCTTATGTGTTGTGTGATACCATCACTACTGCTTTCAGTAGATAATGAACAGTTTGGACATAGAAGAATTGTTGTACTATATAGGTTATTGAAAAATATCATTTAGAGCATAACTTCTGATCTGCAAATGCAACAGCATACTCTGTCCCCTTATGTGGCAGAATGTGTGATGTTTCTGTCACTGTCATGTTCTAACGCATTTTTCTACTCTTCTGTTCTCAAAGTGACGGGGTCCAGGGACCTCCAGGTTATTGTGAAGTATAGCCAGAGGCCGCGTAAGTTTAAAATTGTATTACACTAGTGGAAATCACAACCTACTATTATTTATATAATTATATTATTATTGAGTTCTTATATTTAGGAGCCTGTTTAACTGGTCACTTTTCTTTCCAATGGGTTTAATTGGTCCAAACCTCAATAACTCAAAAATCTATACATTACATTAACTGATATCTAATTTTAACAATTTTAACAAAAATAGGCTGTATTGTTGCCAAATGTTTGAGAACTCCTGTTCAATGTTAGTCCTCTGAATGCAGTCTGTACAGGATTTATTTATTTTTTTTGTGATTGTTGCAGGCAAAGATGTTTGCTCAAGCAGCCCCTGGTGTTTTTGAAAATTTGTGATGCAAGTTTTTTCTACTTTTTTTCGTGGAAAACTACTGAATTGGCAAAATTTGCAATTGCATGAAATTGTTTTGCACAGCCTTTTGCAGTGATGTTTGTTGGTAAATAAAACCTTTTAGATGTACTCATGTTCGATGCATGTGACTCAAAGAAATTTTTTCCTGAATGCTCGTTGCATCACATGATGGGTCTTGGCCCAAATCTGTGGAAAATCTGCAGTAATTTTGAAAAAATTGCAAGCTCCTACAAATATTGTAGAGCTTGTGTGATCTTGCATTAATTTCAGCAATAGATTGTATTTCAGTTAAAATGACCCACTGATGGCAAACGTTTGAGAACTCCTGTTCCATTTCACTGTTATACCTCTGAAAGTATTGATATTATTGATAGTATTTTCACTATTGACTTTTAGAACATGTAGACACACACACACACACACACACACACACACTGTATAGCATTATGCATGGCTCATTTTTCTGTTATGTACACATGTATGATGAAAATTAGTGTATACAATTCTAATCTAAATGATAGTCACTATTTACAATGAATTAAACTATTATTGGTAGTGGAGTCCACACCATCCGCTCAGTCCAACATCCTGCTTGTGAAGGATCTGTGATCTGTGGCAGAGAGTGGAGCATAAATCAATCAAGTGTGTCTGCCGTATGGATGCAGTCGGTGCTGGAGGTGCCATCACTGAGCCTGGTGCAGAAAGGGCAGATTCAAGTACATCACATGCACGTGAATGAACCTACTGTGCATGTTGAAGTGAAACATAGGCTGAGAATCATTTACCACTGCCAGCTCATTACAAGACTGACTATGTACTATCAAAGAATGTATTGTATTGTACACAGTGTGTGTATATATATATATATATATATATATATATATATATATATATATATATATATATATATATATATATATATATATATATATATATATATATATATATATATATATATAAAGTAAACGGGAGGGGCACTTTGTTAAGATAGCCGCTTTATTCTAATGTTATAAGAAGTTGATCGTCTCAAATATTTCCTGCATCATGCTTATACTGATTGTGAAGATTCAATTGAAAAGGTTGACACACAATTGTGTAACACACGTGTGTGTGTATGTTGTGTATCTGCACGCTCACAATAACGATTCGAATTTTCATTAGAAAATTCTTGCACCCGCTTGCAAAAATGGAAAATTTACTTTCAGATAATTGACAAAAGGCAGGAAATGGAATAGGCTCGGCTGCAAAATTGCCCAATTCTCTATAAATTCTGTCCAACAGCAACAAAGAAACAAACAAAAATAGGTCCAGAATCATCATGATTAGAAACTGTCAGTCTCTCTCTCTCTTTCTCTCTCTCTTTTTTTCTTTTCTTAACCACCTGACATATAAATAAGACCTTAAAATGGACCTCTCAAATTGAGCCCCGGCTAAAACAACCAAGTCATTTCACCTCCCGACAACAATTGATCAATTGTAATTACCGACCTGCGGATTGACCCTGTAGTCCGTCTGCTGTCCCTGGAGGGACCCTACAGAGCGAGTGATCCCCCAGTAACAGGTAGACTCTGTAGGACAGTGCAAGAGACGGAGGTTTTTAATTGCTCTGTGCAGTGCGTAATTGAAGGTTCAAGTGTGTTGCCATGAAGAGTGTGACTTCACTTGGCCTTGTCTAATTAATCCCGTCACACGATCCTTCTGCCTTCAATTTTCACGTTTGGCGAGGTGAGAATAAAGCTGGAAATATAGGTTTGTAACTGTATGCCTCTTGCTGAGCCAGATGCACACAAATAAAGCCATATGGAGGAGGGAGTTTGAGATGGGATTCCAACTTGAAGTGTTTCTTTCGAGACTCGAAGAGTTAAATATAAAATACAATTGCTAAAAATAGCTTGTCGTGATTTGGAATAAATGCAAGCTGTTGCTGAATTGCTTGTTGTAGGTTTCTCTGTTGACCCTGTGTTGCATTATAAAATAGCCTTTAAAGCTGTGATGCCATGTTACTTCACACACATCTTTTAGCACATATTCACAATTATGCTCATCTTTAATGTTGTGCAGTTTAACACAAAATGCTGCTGATAGCACTGTGATGAAAGTGCTGGATAGTGCGCTTATTGTGCAACACCGTGTCAAAAGGATGTGTGACGGACTGCTTGTTGGCAGACAATGAATGATCTGCTTTAGCAGGAGAGTAGAGGGGGGAAGGTTAGCTCTTGAAACCAAAGCTCAAAGCTTAGAATTGCAATAATATCTGAAGCACTATTTTCTAGCTTGGACTCCTAGTTCTCATTCCTATCTAACAATGCTAATCATGAATAAAAATCAGTTTTTGTCCAATTTTTTAAGGATATATAAGAGAATTCTTTAATCAGCAGTAAGGTATTATCATGACAGATACTTAATTCAGAGTACAATTAACAATATTACTCAATAATATTTGGAAAAGGATCAAGCTTTTTCCAAATATTCAATTATTAGGTTATTTATATGTTTTTTTTCTTATTGCATTTTTCTTTGTATGGAATACTATGATTAATTTTTGTATTAAATACCATGGTCAATTATTATTATTATTATTATTATTATTATTATTATTATTATTATTATTATTATTATTATTATTATTATTATTATTATTTTCTTCTTCTTCTTGTACTTCTTCTTTCTTCTTCTTCTTCTTCTTCTTCTTTTCCTCTTATTATTATTATTATTAATAGTAGTAGTAGTAGTAGTAGTATAGTAGTAATATTTGTTTTTTTCCTCAAAAGGTAAACTTTTTTAACCTAATCTACAACTATATATCACATGTTAGAGTACTATGTTGCCTTGTGCTGAGAAAACAGCAATCAAATCTGATCTTTAACAGTAGTCTTAAGGGCAGCTGTTGAATTCTGTCAACAAATGTTTATAACACATCACTGTATAATTCAAATTAAAAACTACAACAGTCTAAAACAGCATTCTTAGATTGAGACAGCCATGAGTGAGTGTCATTTATATTCTTTTATCCATCTTTTAAACACAGGCACAATCAAAAGAAAAATAAATTTGTGGTAATTGCACTTTACTGAAGAGTTTGTTGTGTCTGTGGGAGATCAGTCCAAAATTGCTTCCATGTTTAGATGTCTAGTAGCCCCATTTCTAAAATAATTAATTACATTTTCAAAAAAGTATTCATGAGTTCATTAAATAATCTGACAAAAATATGTTTCTCAGGATAGTTCACTGACTGCTCAAACAACTGGCCTTAGAATTAAATAGGTTTTCTGTTCTGATATTTTCTTTGTGCAAGGAACCAGTTCAAAATTATTTTCTTTGGTAATCACACATTAGATGTGTAACACAAAGATCTCACAATCTGTATCTTTACATGCATCCGTGTAGTGGCCCAAATATGTCTATCTGTATTTGAAATTACAAAGTGGTCATGGATTAAACCTTTCTTTTTTTTTCTTATTTTAATAAATTTAAAGCTCCATGAATTTGACCAAGCAGTTACTATGAATGAATGAACGATCAAATGAATGAATACATGAATTACACAATGATTTCTGTATTGAGAGATCACATGACATTGAACAAGCAGTTATTATGAACTAATGAATGAAATAATGAATGAACACATGATCACTGTAAAAGCATTGCTATAAATGCATCAGTCTTGTCCACATTAATGAGCATTGACTTTCTTTGTCCCACAAGCGTCATATAAAACACTCGCCCACATGAAAGTAAAAACGTTTTTGTATAGTCTCAACCAGATGCCAATTTTCTGGCAAGCTCTCTAATAAACAAATAAAGAAGTAAATAAGTGTAACTCCTATTTGTATCTATATTAGTATCTGTTCAGAGCACATTATTTGTTCATTCCAAATAATTCACATTCAGCATCTGTATCACATGCACTATAAATGTGGTAAATAGATAGATTTGGGAAATTTAGCTTAAAAACACTAGACTGTTTATTCACGTAAAATGAAGACTGTTTATTCATAAAATTTTATCTTAAGATATCTGAGTTAAATATGTAAAAAATCACTTATTACAGTTTTCCTGTTATACCAGATGCAGCTCACTGAATCAGTGAAAGCTTGTCTCTGAAACATAAGGCTGAATTCTGAGCCAGAATATGAGACTGGTCTCTTTTCAGCAGCTTGGGTCTTTAGCAATGGCAAAGCATTAGCCTCTGTTGCTTGCTGTCACTCTCCATACACCAATGA